GGGTTTTAGAATAAATTTAGATTTTTTTTTATTGCTAAGACTTTAACTTAAAAATGAAAATATCAAGTCTTAGGCTCTTCATGAATACAAGCCTATTTCTTAACTTTTTATTAAGCTAAATCACACTTGAATCTGATATTGACAACTCTAGTTATAACTTAAAAATTAAGTGGTGTTCGAGTTTGAAATGAACAAACCTAACTAGTATTTTTTTTCTAAGCTTTGTCATCTTTTTGTCTCTTCACATAAACCCCAATTTCAATAATTAAATACATTAATCAATCATCTGAATTATGAGATATGTCTATTTTACAAACCCATATTTAAAACTAAACATTTACTATAACTTTATCTTACCAAATCAAAAAGAAAGAATATATTATCGGACTTATTATTATAATACGCGCTTAAATTAGAGAATTTAGTGATACTTTAAGTGTAATATGATGATATAAAACTTAAATAAAAATGTATTTTTAAAAATTTATCCTACTTCGCACCATTTTTCTACTGTTCATAAATTTATTAGACCACACATTGCTTTTATTTTAGAGATATTTAACAAGTCTTTAAAGTTAGGACCAAGATTTTTTTTTTGGATTCGAGGAATCCCCACCCTCCGGAAAGCGTACTTTGTGGGTCTAGGTAAGCGAGTAAAACCTCAGCTATCCCAGGCTCTTATAAGAAGTGTACATCCTGACTTGAACTCGAGATTTGCTATACAGATTTCAAACCCTTTGCCATTAAGCTACGCCCCTTGGGGATGTTATGACCAAAATGTTAATGCCAAAGATTAATATCATCTACTATCACCCTATAACAACACAAGTTGGTCAGGGTTGAAACTCTATGATACCTGTCTAAAATTATAGTTATAGTACCTTTTATTGTCTATTTATCAATATAATTGTAGATGTTGCATTCATCTTTAGAAAATGCACACTCTAATTCTTATCATAAAATCTACTTATACTTAGTAGGTTAGCTTTAACACCATTTACAAACAAAACATTATGAAAAGTAAGTATATCAGGAATATTAATACTTCATTTACCTTTTATAGTAGTTGTGCTTCTATCTCTAAAGGTTATTAATCCTCTACTTAAGGATTCAAATATTTTGAACTGACCTTTATCTCCTAACATATATTTAGAACAACAAATTGTTATTTATTATTTTTAGTATTGTATTTGCTACTAAACATATTGCCTTTTCCTTAACTATCCATTGGTTTTTTTATTTTTGTTCTATTAGAATTTTCAAGCTCTTGGGATTTCTCATATCCTATTAACTTACCAAGTTCTTTCTATAATACATAATTGATTTAATGCTAAGTTAATATTATATTCTAGATCTTAATTTTTATTAGAACATCTATTTTCTAGATTGAAAATTTTTATTCTTTTTCTTTCCTATAATTTCAAATTGTTGATAAATATAAATAAATTTGCCATTTAACTTAATTGTTTGGACTTTATTTGACTTGTTTCTAGGCATGAAAACCTCTTATAGTTTATCTTTTAAAAAGATAATTCTTTTGGAAGAGGATCTATCAATATATTTTTTTTATTGAATATCCATGCATTGTGTATCCTAAACCTATACATTCAGTGTTAACCTTTTAAGCTTTCAATAATCCATCAAGTTTATGTCTTGCTGATTGTTTCTTTATCTGTTTGTAGACTGTCAGCTCTTTTTCAAGTGCTTTGAGTTTAGTGAGAGACCTATATATCTCTACTTTTGACAGCTTTAGAGCCTTAACTAGATTGTTCTTCTCATTCTTTATAGTTGTTAGCTTGTCAAAAAATTTCTTGATTTTTTCACATAAATCATCATAAGCTTTCTGCAAACTTAATTCATGATTGACAATAACTAAAGTAATATTTAAATTACTGAAATAACTAACAATTTAGTTTATATCATAGCTATTAAATTTTTAACAGTTTGGTAGTTATCATAATTACTTAATGTATTAATAGTTTTGTTCATGTTAGTACATTAATCAAGACCAAAAAAAGCGACAAAACAAACTTATTATCAAACGATATATTAGAATTTTCATAATCAAATTCACCACTTAATTTAATATTAAAGGTTTTTTTTTATTTCTTTTGAAATTAGAGTATTCATTTCTTAAGTTACCATATTCTAAGAATTCAAAATACTTAACTCTTTCTTTAGATTTAGTTTTACCTTTACTTCTATTTTTTGATTCATTTCTTTTGAAAAAATCTTTCTCTTTTTAAAACTTTATCATTGTTGTTTTTCTTAAACATAATTTTTTAAAATTTCCTAACTACAAGAGCAATATTTTTACTATAAAGATCATTATTAGAGGAATAATTATATATATATATATATATATATTTTAACAAATATAAGTGTAATGGACTTACATTTTTTTTTATAAAGCAATGTAGATTTATGAGTTTATAAGGAACCTACCAATTTTTCAACACGTATAGTGTCCAAATCCTTATTTTCTTTTATTTTTGTTACATTTGGCTGAAATCTTTCATGCATACATCTTAAAATCTTTTTTATATTTCATGAGTCCTCTATTTTTTCTCCTCTATTAAACCTGGAATATACAATATCATTATTTTTGGCGTAAAAATCATTAAAAGATTCAATTTTCAGTATTCTTATCTCCTCAAATCTTGAGGCTAGTATTTGTAATTTAGAGTTTTTCATTATCTTGGTTCCCTCATGAGTAACTTCAATATCCCAAGTTTCCTTGTCTATCTCACACATGAGATTCTATTAGATTCACCAGGAGACACTATCATAAATAAATATTCAGGCCATTATTATTCCAATTATAATCAGTGGATTTGTCTTTGGTCTAGTAGTTGAAAAGAATTTCAAGCTTGGCCCATTCATAATTAACTGAGTACCAGGCTTTCTTATATAGTGATTTGAGGAAATCTTTCATCTTTAACTTCTAGTAGTTATACTTATTGTTGAATTATAGTGGAGAATTCAATATTTACATGTTTAACAGGAAAAATAGATTCATTTTAGAATAAGTGAACTTACTCTGATACCATTTGATAGTCTGGTTTTTGTTCCTTTTATGTTAAGAAGCAATCTACTAACCACTTTGCAAACATTGATCAATAACTAAATAAATATAAGTGTGGAAAACTTAAATGGAAAATTTATTTGGTTATAAATAAAAAAAATTTCAAAAGATAAAAAACCCCTCTAGGGCAGTCAAACCTAAGATAAACAACTTTGACTAATTTAAAAGAATACAATAAAAGTATTTTTACCTATAAATATTTTGTATATATATCTTACTTGTCAAGAAAAATACTTTGTTTTTTCTTGTATCCTAGTAGCTTGCAAAACACTTAACCATCTTCAAACTATTGTCATCCTAGTCAGTACATCCAGTTGCTAACAGTTAATACAGGAATTCCTCCTAGAAGTCTGGTGGCTCTCTAACTCTTCATAGAAAAATTCTCCTTGAAAATTTTATTCACACTCCACTCATGTATTAAAAGTATATGTTACAAAACTTTGTGTAACTCCTTAACTAGTTAGGCACTTCTACTACACTGCAAGTACTGCTCTTTTATCAATCATTATATACACATCAATGTGATAAGGATAAAAACCTTTGATAAATATTATCTTCATTATATACTATGTTATGGCAAAAAAGATAAAGACTTTGTGGTTATATCATGTTAGTAGAAAAGAAAAAGGTGAATCATAGGATAAAAAGGAAGGAATTTTTTTTGTAAACATAGTATGGTGTGAATACACTCGGATAAAGATTACCACGATTACCAGTGTTTGGTGTTGTCCTTATAGTTTGTTAATTATGTTGTGGTAATGATATATATGCAAGATATTAATTAAGATGCCATAAAAAAAAGTACTTTAAAAGTTCACATTACTCAAAACTATTTTTAAAAACTAAAATTAAAAGAGTTTTTCTATTATATATTATGATGTTCCGAAGGATGAAAACATTACTCAATCGTTAGGATGAAATTAATTGAAGCATATTTCATAGTAGACGAGTAAGCCGCTAACAAATCCAATGAAAAAGATCATACCCATATCTATTTTTTTATTTTATTTTTAAATTTAATGATTAGAGTTATCAAGTTTGCTTTTTCAATGTAAAAGCTCTTTTAATCCAAGGAATTGTAGCTATTTTTGTGTAAAAAAGTCTCAAATTTAAAGTTTTTTTATACAAAAAATTAAATACATTTTGAATATTAATAAACTCGGAAGTCGTTGAACTTAATTAAGATATTCTAAATTCCAATGATTTGTACAATAAAAGGAATTTTAATTTAGCTCAAAATGAAATCTTGGCAATCCACCAGTACTGAAGATTTCTTTCGTAGACGTGTAAAAACAAATGATGACTTTCGCCAATGTTTCTTAAAGCCCTCTCTCTCCCGCACACACATGCACTCGAAACAGTCCATGAGAGTCCGAGACCACCACTATAATATTTATCATTAAGGTAAGACTAGCAATTGTCTAACCCATTTAATAATTAAGTGCACAGACCAAACAACAACAAGAGACAACATACAATCTTCTCAAAATTCAATGACAAAATCTTAACAGATATACAAGCTTAATGCTAATTAGCTGGTCAGTTAAATCCATCATCTAGGTTCCTATCAAGATGTTGAATCAGTATCTATCTATTATCCTCCCATGAATATCAAAATTAATTAAATATTATATTCTGCAAAGAATATTTTCCAATCAGGTAGTCCTAAAGACGACAGAATACCACGTGTTAGCATCACTAAACATTAATTAATGATCCAGGAATCATGCAGACAACAAGCATGCAACAAAACAATGCTGTGATGCAGTGAAGGGGAATCATGCTAATGCTTATATTAATACATTTTGAACCTTAATTAAGCTTGGAGTTACCATTTCTAATTTTGTTCATAGCGAATGATGACACACAAAAACTCATGTATTACGTAGAGGTCCTCAAGTTTGCATGGATTATATGCCGTCCGAAGAGAAGACTTAGTCGTTGAATTATGTCATATGGAGAGTGACTCTATAAGATATATACTTGCTTTGTAAATATTGGTCTGCCGGCAATGGTTTCAATTTTTGTGACTAAAAACTGCATCCTTTCCGACAGCGATCTTCCCTCTTCATCAATACTCTCTTTCTCTTCTTTAATCTATCACATTCTAGGGTAATGATGTGTCAAGACTAAAGAAAATGCAAGTAGTGCATCTAAAGCTATCCTAGCCAGCTAGTTTTACAGGGCAAAATTTATATGCATTCAAGTTAAGATGGCAGCAAAGAGCTACTATTATTTGGCAACCCAACCAACATCATTTCCCAATTCACCAGCACCGCCACCGCTAATTCATGAGACCAGAATTGCTAATAATAATCGAAGGCATGATAAACATATATGGGGAGCACTAATTATTGGGATTGTAACAATATCAGTTGTTACTTCACTCTGTTTGTTTTTCAGGAGAAGACTCTTTCCAATTTTTTGGCAAAGATACTGGTTACATAAAGGTTAGTGTGAGACAACATTTGCCTTCTATGATAAATGTGAACCTTCTATTTTGTGAACTGATCAGTTGAGTGGTTGTGGAGGATTAGGAAGTTTGAAAGCTGGCACATTATCACTGAGGCAATTTCAGTTGGAGGAGTTAGAGAGGGCTACGAAGAACTTTAGTGATGATAGCTTGTTGGGGTCTGGTGCATTTGCCAATGTCTACAAAGGGACTTTTGAATTGGAGGGTACTGCTCTAGCGATCAAGAGAGCCCATGCTGAATCATACCAGAACACCGAAGAATTTAGAAATGGTAAGCCTGATCAACCAATGCAAGCATGTACAAGCTTAAAAGTTTGTGAGGCTTATGAGTTTGAGTGGCTGATCTATCCTTGCGTGTATTCTTTTTTTCGAAACAGAAGTGAATCTGCTTTCCAAAGTAAAGCACAGAAACCTTGTTGGCTTGGTCGGATTTTGTGAACAAACTGGTATAGAAATGTTGCATATTGAGTTGTTGTCTTTGTTTTCTGTGCATGTACTAAACGTGTATATGCTTAACGTTGTCTCAAACAGGAGCAAAAAGAACACAAATGCTGGTTTATGAGTATGTACCAAATGGTTCTTTGCTTGATTACATTACCGGTAAGCTTCGACTTCTTGCTTGTAATATCTGCTTTGCTTTCTCAAATATGTGACGTTTTGTTCATCATCTGCATGATTTCCTTGTAGGAAAAGGAGGGAGAAGCTTAACTTGGAGGCAAAGAGTAAACATAGCCATTGGAGCAGCTAAGGGTACGTGTCCTCTTAATTACTGTCTCTAGAAAATAATAAAACTGAAAAGAGTACTAACTATTTATCATGACGTTACTGAAAAATTGCAGGCATAGCTCATTTACATGATGGGATCAAGCCTAGCATAATCCACCGCGATATAAAACCTAGTAACATTCTAGTAGGAGATGGTTTTGAAGCAAAAGTTTCAGATTTTGGGCTAGTGAAGATGGGACCTATTGGGGATCAATCTTATGTCAGTAGCCAGATCAAAGGAACTCCGGGATACCTTGATCCTGCCTATTGTTCAAGCTGTCATTTAAGTCCTTTTAGTGATGTATACAGCTTTGGAGTCATACTCTTGCAGCTTGTCACTGCCCGGCCTGCAGTTGATTTAACAAGAAATCCGTCAAACTACAATATAATTGAATGGGTATGCATAACTAGATATAGAACTCAACTTGATGCAGATCATCATTTAGCAATGGTTTTAATATTTTTTTCTTCATAGTTGAAATGAGATGATGTATGTTGCTAAAATGCAGGCAAGGCCTAGCTTAGAAAGTGGCAGGGTTGAAGAAATTTTAGATGCTAATCTTCTAACAGATTCCTGCGACATGGAAATGATGCTAAAGATGGGAGAACTTGGTCTGAGATGTGTAGTGAAAAATCCTAAAGACCGGCCTACGATGACCCGGGTGTGGCAAGAGCTAGAAGAGGCCTTATATTTAGCCGATAACTTCGTCGACGAAGAACCTTCAAAGGATTATTGGAGATCATCAAGCAGTTCTCGTAGATCAAGGGATCGTGGACCTCGAAGATCATATGAAAATTCCCAGAGTTTTGTCAGCATAGATGGTGTTGGATTTCAAAGGTTTCACGTTGAGATGGATAGCATCTTGTTTCACAGCACAAGCATGAAGTGTTTAGAGGCTGCTAGTGTCAACATTGACATTGATAAGAACAATTTGAGAGGAATAAGCGAAGAGACAAGCAAAGAAGAGATCAGTTGAACATGTAATTGGTCGTGCTTGAGCTTTAGCAACGCAACTTTCTCTTCATGCCAGTGATACCTCCTTCACTAGAAGGGTTGGGGAGCGGTTTTGGCACATTGTTGATAGCCCTTCTTATATATTTGTCCTGAGATATTTGATTTGTTCTGTTCATCAAAATTAGGCAGAGAAGTTTGTAGTCTGCTTAATCTCTGACTTTATCTGGTACTGGAATTTCCTTTCAGTTTTTCCCAAAAATGACAAAGTAGAACTTATGCGCTTGAGCAACCATGGGATTTCCTAGAAGAGGACCGGAAGAATAGCTAATGTTGCATCATTTCTAGCATTTCCTTTAATTGCCTTCTGCTATCGGAGATGTTATTTTTATTGTTAGCCACTTTTCCTTCTTCCTCTTCAAAATGTTTTTTTTTCAAAAAAATATATTAAAATAATACTTTTTTATTTTTAAAATTTATTTTTGACAACACATCAAAATAACTCACAAACACAAAAAAATAATAATTTAAAACTAAAAAAAAATAAAAAAATCAAAAGCATGGTTAAACCATGACATCAAACATGGATTAAAACAACTAGCTGTCTCCAAGAATATGATACAACTATTTAAGAACCTCACTATGCAATTCCCTTTTTGAGAAACAAAGGATTGGAAAAGCCTGCAAGATTCTCAAAACACTACAGTAGTTCTATTTTCACCTATTATGCCTTACAACTTGGAGCCTGGGATCCCATCTCTTCCATATAGGATATGTTACTATCATTATTCTCTTCTGTTTTTGCATTTTTCATGTACGTAACGAGATCAGAATACATCTTTACCGTTGCCTTCGAAAACTCAGCCAAGGACTCAAAAACTGAAGAAAATCCTCTCTGAAATCCATTTATGGTGATCCCATGTGTCTCTTGCATGCTAGCAAGGTGCTTTCCCTGCTCTTCATCTAGCCTCTTCCTGAACATTTCCAATTGATTTTTCCTTTCAGCTATGTATTCTATGCAGTTACGCGCCGTCAATTTAGATTCCTGCTCAGAAATCTTGGATTCAAGAATCCTCCTCTCTGCTCTCTGGAATGCCAGAGTCCTCCTGTCAAGTTCTTTGGCCAATCCATCAACTTTCCTCTTTTGTTGTTGTTCTTCTCCTTGCTGATTCCATAGGGCATGGATATCCTTTCCAAAGCTCTTCATGGCACAAGCAACAGTCTTACGTGGCAACTTATCTAGGCATGCTAACCAATCATGACAGGTTACTACCAATGGTGGCCAATTTATTCTATAAGGACGGGCTAAAGAGTTGCCACTGGAGCAGAATTCAACTTTTGGAGAAACAAACTGGGATAGCCAACCACCAAGAGCTTCAATGTATGCCTTCTGTGTAGATACATAAGCAGTGAAAGAGGAATGCCAATTGTCAAGTTCTGCCTCAAGTTGAAGAGTAGCGAGACGATGAGAGTCATTGGAGAACTTCCCATATGCTGGAGAGTTGAAATATTTCACTTCAAGCATTACTCGATTTTGGGTTTCGTGGGATTCCAACATCATCTTCCAGTTCCTCATTAGGCTGCATAAGTGGAAGTTTGGATGTCATTACACAACTAATTTGAAACATCCTCTTCTTATCTCCTTCAAAAAAGATCTACTTACCCATGTAGCAGTTCTACAAGTTGCGGCTCCAACTCTTCATCTCTCAATTTCTGGATTCTGTCAGAGATTGATTCCACACTTCGCAGCGCAACTGAGATTCGACTATGCAAGTCATTTGCTTCAGCACATGATTTATCTATCAAGTGGAGGCCCCCTTCAGAAGTATCCTGATTTCTCAAACGAGAGCATTTTCGTACATAGAGTTTCCTGGTCTGCTCTCCAGCCTGAGCATGTTAAAGGAACTATATTAATGTTAATTGAGTGACATCAAAGCAACAAGCATATGCCTGCAGCATTATAGAACTGATACTTCATTGCAAGATATATCAACGGATAAGGTATTGGTATAAGAAAGCCATGTGCCCTTCTAATAAATTTACAAAGATAGCGAACAGGCAACTTGGATTTCAGAGTTGAACGTGACCAATGGGATTTGTAATTAACCTTCACTTCCTCATAAAGTTTCTTCTCCCAAGCATATAATCGTCCAAGGGTCAAGGAGTGGCTCCCTGCATCCATCCCATAGTCATCAAATAGATCACTCTTGAGTTCTGTCCACATGGAAGAACTGACAGAGCTAGATGAAAGGAGACTTTTAGAAGAAGAGGACCGAGATGAGAGGGAACGGCTCCAGGTAATTGATCGGGCAAGCTTATTTGAGCTCTCTGCAACCAGAAGATATGAATGAACTGACAAGGTAATTGCCTAGCTGGAATTTAAGGAATGTGCAACAGACAGAGGAATTTTGCTTTCTTGTAATTAAATTAAGAATTTGACACAAATTTTAGGAACAATAACTAAGCAGAATCTGTGCCATTGAAGCACAGTAACAAGGACGATTATAACAGTTTTGAAAACCTAGTTAAAAGTTGAGAGAAACTATAGAAGTGTTTACTGGTTAATTCTTTACTCCAAGTAAATGATCACAGCCACACCAAAATATAGACATAAATTGCAATCAATTAAAAACAGCACATCAACAAGCAGAAGAACAAAAGCCTACCTTTGATTTCATCCAAACCAGATAGAAATTGAACCCTATTGGCTTCCAGCATCCTTGAAATTTCCAAACCAGAATCATAAGCCTTAATAAAATGGTCCTCAATATCCTTCAATGCTTCCAGCAATTCCCTCCCCTTTGTTGGTGTATCAATCACTCTTAAACCCTTGCTCTCTCCTAATTCAACATTAGCACTATCCCCACTTTTCACATCACTAACCCCACTCTCTTTGCAACCCACATCACCAATTTTCATATCCACTTGTTCATTCTCACTCTGTACTCTCTCATTTACTTCTTCTAGCTCAGGAATCCCCTCCTTCTCTCTCACAGCCCTGAAATCCTCATCAGAGCTTTGACGAAATCCATTTACCACTTCAGTCCTCACTTCATCAAAAGGGTTAAAAAAATCCCAACCAAATCCCCTCTCTGATGATGGCATTAATGGACTCGCCTCGTCATAAAAATGATCACAAACTGCTTCCCCATCTTCATTGCCATAAAAATGTGAGCAAACCCCTCCTCCATCTTCACTGTCACCTTCTTCTTCAAAATCCTCACTATCACTACATTCTTGAACTTCTTGTTTTTTAGTCTCTAACTTGGGAGACACTAAAGACACTTTAGAAACCGAGTCTTGACATGAAATAGTCGCATGCGTGGCTTCAGTTGGTCTTTGTTGATGAAAGTTGGAATTGCAAATAAGGGTCTCTTTAGGGTCATTAGTAGAAGATGTAGAAGGGAAGGTAATAAGGAAAGGAGAATTTGGAGATGAATGTCTTGCAACAAACAACCTTAAAGCCATTGCTACTCCATAAAGAGACTGGTTATATTTACATTGAGCATCTGCAAAAGCATACCTTCTCTCTACAGCGAACTTAAGCAGTCTTTTTCTTTCTCTACACAGCGAGACCACATTGTCTTCTTCTTCTTGCTTTGACACTGCACACCCCATTTGACGCCGACAATGTACTGTCTTGTGACCACAAAAAAGAAGAAGAAGAAGAAGAAAGAAACAACCTTGTTTAGTGTAAGAAACTAGAGATAGATTTCCCTTGGAGGTGCAAAAAATGGTGGATGATGTGGTTGGATGTTAAGGAAAGGGAGGGGTGTCTGAGACTTGTTTTTTATAAATAATTTTTTTCTTTTACAATTCTTAATATGTGTTTTTTTATTTTTTTTTTGTTATTTTTAACATCACCATCTTATATATATATATGAAGAACTCTATCTATCAAGAAGTCTAAAGACATGGGCTTATTATTTTTTAAAAAAACTAAGAACACTTTAATAAAAAACAATCAAACACTCGCGTACGTAATGTTGGAAAAGTGAAAGAGAATCACACAAGCAGATGGTAACTGATAAATTCACAATGCAAGGGGTTTGGATTTTAGTAGAAGAAAAGAGAAACAGCTGGGCCAAAGTCGGAGCAAGAGACAAATAGCTAACTAAAGACCTTATTGGCACCAAACCAGTGCATGTTCCATGGAAAATAATGTTGAATTCAGTACTATCCAAGATTCCAAACAGAGAAAAATGGCATTGGCATAGCACCGACGATGTCAAGATCTTAAAAGCTCTCTGTTTGCAAGATGGACCGAAAAAGTGAATAGCCCTAAACCCCCCCACTTACTCCATTGCCATACATAGAGAGATTTTGCTAGATTTTTGCTGATATTTTTAGCTGGTGTCTTGTTGCCCTAGGCCCATTGAGCGAGTGACTGAGAAGAAAGAAAGATTCGAAGAGTCAAAAGCAATTCTTGCTTTGTTTTTTTTTTTTTTCTGTAGTCACAAAAATCAAATCACGTCAACTTTTCTCTTCAGGAATCAGGATAATGTGAAAACCACTGCTTGACTAATGTTTAACAAGCGGCCCACTCAATTACGGAGTGTTTGAAAACGCCTTTGGAACACTATGGAAAATATTTTTTAAAATTATTTTAATATAATGACATTAAAAATAATTTTTTTTAAATATTCTTTTAATATATTTTAAAAAATAATCATTTTTATACAGAGCACACAGGAAAAAAAGGTAATGCCTATGATCATGGTGAGATTTTGAGGTGGCTGGCTACTCAAAAAGTAGAGTTTCAAAGAACCTTATAGTGATATATTTTTGGTGGGGTTTTGTCATAAATTCACAACAACTGTGTTCATGTAAATGCATAATAGCCCAATTATTTTTCCTTTTGAGCATGAAAGAGACATTCCAAGCACAAGTGCAAGGATGGTAAAAGCAGTGCGAGTGGTTAAAGCACCTTGCGTAGCTCAAGAGTAATCAACATGATTAGTATATTTTTTATTTTAATTCCTTTATATTTCTCTTATTGGTCAAGTGTGAAGCCTTAAAGACTGAAAGATTTTTTTACTGCAAATCTAAAATAACACTCCCAACTATGCAAATACATGCATTTTCAATTTTTTTAGATTACCGATTCATGTTGTTGATTCTTGAGTTTAATCTAGGTCTAAACAATCATTTTTAGATTGAGTTTTGATATTTTCATTGACTAATAGTAGGATCACAGTTTTATGTTAAAATCTTATTCATGTTCTTAATGATTTGAGGTTATTTATTAGTTTTTTTAATTCAAACCTATTGTTTATGTTAATATAGTTTATTAGGGCTAAAAGAGCTTCTTTTGGAGGTTTAAAATGTATTTTTTTGGATTTGACAGTGTATGCTGGATTTTCTAAGCAACCTGAGTTTATTTTTTTCATGTTAATTGAAAGAATATTATCTTGAATATTAGTTTTATATCTCATTTTGATTTGACTTTGGTTTTTGCAAGTTTTTATATCATCACTAGTAAACAATCTAGAGTTTTCATGCACCGATAACGTGTTTTTGTAAGTGTTAATCTTAGAATTTTGATTTTAAATTGAAACCTACTTTTAATAAAAATTATGATGTTTGAGTAAGAGTCAAAACAAATGGATACTTGATTTTTGATATATGCTTGATTGTGAATAAAACAATGCCTTTTATTGTTTGAAATTTGGTCTAGTTTGATGTTTACGTTGTTGGGTTTGAATTTGAATTTTTTTTTATTGTTTTTCATGATCTTCATTTTTCTTGGTTATGTTTTTGTTAGAAAAATTTATATTTTTTGTGTTTTATTTTAGTTTTGATCCATTTTTTATGGTTTAGATTTTAGGTTAAACCTTAGATTTTTTATCTGGTTCTTGGTTGACTAGTGTTTTCAGGTTGACTTGTTTAGGTTAAAATTGCATCAAATACTTAAGGATTTATTTGGTTTGTTACTATTTTGATAAGAGAGATTGTAGCTTAAAGGTATATTTGGTAAACACGTCTTTAGACCTGTTTAGACAATTTTATTTTGAATAAAAATATAGTTTTGCCAGGCTTGATCCTAAAAAAATTCTTTTTAAAATCAAAAATGATTTTGTTTGTTGCATAAGACCCAATTCTTATAAAAAAAATACATTTTTATTTATTAAAAAAGAGAGAGAAATATGTTTTTTAGCATGGTTTTAGAAAATATCTATGTTGATTTTCCTTTATGTTTTTTTTAAATTTACAATAAGTTTGTAAAATTCCTTAAAAATTTGGTCATTATTTCAATAACCCTAAAAAAATTCAATTTATGAAAATTAATGGTCAATATCTTGGTATAAATATTTGACTTATAAGTAGATTGATACTAAAATAACAAGAGTTGACCAGAAAATTTGAAGAATTATTTTAGATATTCACTAATTTTAATTATGATTATTTTTCACCACAATATAAAAGTTATAGAGAATTATTTTGCTTTCCAGAATAGGTGAACCATGGATAGATTTATTCATAGGAGTAAATCTTTATTATAAGTCATAGATAGATAATTGGTTAAGAACTTATTAAACACTTTAAATCATATCTAAATCATACAATGCAGCTTAGTTTACGGTAAGTAAATTACGCTAGAGCTAATATATTTGCTAACCATAACTAGTCTCTTATCTTTAGAATCTTTTGTTAAGACTAATATACTCGGATTTTCTAGTAACCCTAAATCAAACAACTAGGTGGTTATTCCTTGACCCCTGACTCTGGATTTGTCGCCCTCCCATGTGCGACATGTGATATTTAGTATTGTGATATTGATTGTTATTCAAAGAGTTTTTTGTTTGAAAATGCATTAAAATAATATTTTTTAAAAAATATTTTTGACATTAGCACATTGAGACGATCCCAAATCATAAAAAAATTCATTTGAAGTAAACAAATTTTAAAATTTTCAAAAACGGTTTTTAAACACAAAAACAAATACACTCTTAGGATCTATTTGAGAGTGTTGTAAATCTTACATTTTAAAGTGTTTTTTATTTAAAAATATGTGAAAATATATTTTTTTAAAAAATTATTTTTGATAGTATATCAAAACAATCTAAAACCATTAAAAAAATTAAAAATTTTCAAGCATCGTATCAATCATACCTTTAATATATCTCATTTGTGACTTTCAATTATAAATATTATAATAATTGTGGCTTATGATAATTTTAGAAAAATAAAATATAACTAAAGGAAATTAACTTTTTACTATGAATGGCATTGTATGTGGGTATGTGTGTATTTCATAGTTGATGCTTTTAGTTATCATATTCTCTTTTATTATCATATTCTTATGACACAGATCTCAGATTTGACGGGTTAACTCAGTTGATTTAGTTTTTTTTATCTTAATTAGTTTTTTATTTTATTTTTATATTTTAATATCGATTTGATTGAAAATTAAATTTCATAATTTATTTTGTTGATTTTTCATTAGATTATTGTGATCTAATAAGGGGATTTTATTGTACCCGTCCTCGTAAAATACTATTTATTGAAATAGTGCATTGGTTTTTTTTAATTAATCTTTTTTTTTAATTTTATTCTTTAATATTAATTTTTTTCTTATTTAGTTATCACATTTTCATGATACAACCTTGTAATCAAACTCACATCTAAGATTCTTAGGTTTAATGTTACAGCGAGACCCAAGGTTTTTGGATTTGATATTGTAGTCAAACCCATTTAAACTTGAGTCATAAAAGTTTAATATTATTATTAATAATATAGTTATAAAAGTTTAATATTATTATTAATAATATTAAAAATATTATTATTTGTATTATAAATATTATTATTTTTTTATTTTTTTGCTTTTTTTTAATTAATTTTTTTGTTATTTAGTTTGTTAATATTAATTTTTTCTTCTATTTGGTTATCATACTCTCATAACACGAATATTAGGTTTGACAAGTTAACTCAATTAATTAAGATTTTTTTTTAATAAGGTTTCTTTTTTCAATTTTATCTTTAATATCGATCTAATTGAGAATTAAACTTAATGATTTGATTTGTTTTGTTTATTTTCCATTAGATTATCATAATTTCATAAGGGGATTTTACTGTACCTCTCTTTGCAAAACACTATTCATTAGAATAGTGCTTTGTTTTGTTTTTTTCTTTGTTTTTTTTCTTTTCAATTAATTTTTTTTATTATTCTATATTAATTTTTTATATTTACTTATCGTATTTTTATGACAAGACTTTGCAACCATGTTCACATCCAAGACTTCTAAGTCTAGAGTTATTGTTAGACCCAAGACTTTTGGGTCTGACATTGTAGCCAAACCCATTTAAACTTGGGTCATGCAAGTTTAATATTATTATTAATATTAAAAATATTATTATTTTTATTATAATAAATATTGCTAATATAATAATTAATAAATTTTTTAAAAATATTATTAATATTGAAAACAACAATATATTTAATTTGGAAGGTAAAATTAAAAACTATAAGAATTTAGGTCAAATATGTTTAATAATATTAATAATATTATTTTTTCATTATTATTAATATAATAATTATTATTTTAAAAAAATATTATTATTTTTGAAAAAACCATAGATTTGATTTGATCTGTAAAATTAAAAGTTGTTGTTATTGTTGTTGTTATCGTAGTCATCGTCATCGTTATTATTATTATTATTATTATTATTATGATTATTAGTGTTATTTTTATTCTTAATAGTGCTATTATTTTTATTATTATGAAATTTAAAAAAATTATTATTATTATTATTAAAAATATAATAAATTTAATTTGAATGAATTAAAAACTATAAAGACTCGAGTCATATAAGTTT